ATTACTTTCCCCAAGTCGAGTCTGTTTTGCCCTTGATGGTAATTGCTGAATGATCTCTCCCTGTTCTTATCTTGACCCACAAGCTTCTTGTTACATTTTCTCTCCCCTGTCCAGCTGAGAAGGGAAGTGATAGAGCGGCTTTGGTGGGCATCTGGCATCTAGCCAGGGTCAACCCACCACAATTAATTTTATATTCAGATATTATATTAAAATTGCGTTTCTAGCAGATACAATGCTCAAGTCTTTAAAGAACATTGAAATCACACAGTGTCACTTGTTATTGGGCGACAACAGTATTTTATAATATTATAATTTGGAAAACTAATCATAATGTCTGAGCTACAAGCTTATCGTTAAATAAAATAGATATAATCTTCCATGTGATTATATTGATGCGATATTAACTGCCACAGGAGGAGGATGCCATTCAAGTGCTTCAATTTTATGAAGTCAAACAGAAGATCAAATAGAAAGTGTTACTAATAGAAACAATTGAATAGCCGTCTTTACCATACGAATGATGTTTACCTCATTATCCTCATCATCTTCATCAGATTTTTCTGAGGGTGGTGATGAGGAGTCACTTTTTATTTCTTCTGTAATTTTTGCAGCTTTTGTTGCTCTATACTTCTTAGTTCTTGTTTTCCTCCTCTTTGAATTGCCCTGAATGCAAATTAGTACTTTTATTATGTCAACCGACAAGTGTCTTTGCACGACAGTTGCAGAAAAAGGTTTGTTTTTTATGTTAAAGAAAGCATTCATTTTATTTATTGCCACTAATGACCACCACTTTTCTCAGGACTGGAGACCAAGCCTAATGCAACAGCAGAGAATATATACAAATAAGAGAGAATAAAACAATATTAAACTTGCAATTCATTCCTTGAGTTAGTTTCATATAATATGATTAGCAATACAGAGAAAAATTACACAAAGCAAAGTGGAACTAAGAATAAAACAAGTATCTGCTGACATGCCCGTAAGCATATTATGTTATCTCGCTACTGAATATCAAGTTTACTTACTGCACCAGTAAGTCTGTGCGCTTCTTTTCTTGCAAGGTCTTTATTCAGTAATTTAATGAGGTAATCTGCACGTGTCTGTAACTGCTTGGCCTGGGGTTTCTTATCTGGATCATCAGGTAAAATCTGAGGAGAGCAATGGTAGTATCAACTACAAGTACACATTATCAAATTAGGAAGCTGCTAGTCTGGAGCACTGGGAACAGAAAAGCTGAATTAAGAAAAAGGTAAAAAACAATCTGCTCCAACTATACCTGACCAATATGCCAGCATGCTTCAAGGAATGGAGAATTTCTTTATTTTTCCCCAAACACACAACTAATGTAGTCTTGGAAATGGTCTCACAAAGTTTACAGCAAACAGCCTCAGATTTCTGTTTCCACTCTCATAGTTTATCTAAAAAATTCAGAGCTCCTGTTCCACTGTCATCCACATATCTCTTAGTTCTTCCTTGTGCTTCTAAATGCATTAACTTATTACCACAGGATATTTCAGAAGCCAAAAATATAAATGAGTGGTTTCATAAAACAAGCAAATTAATGGAAGACAGGGGCAGGATTTGTATACAACCCTGGCTCATCAAATCCCAAAGCTACAGGTTGTTGGTGATGTCATTGAGTTTGCTTCACTCTGTTTTTTTTTGTAAGCAGCCATTGCACTACTTCTAATCTGATGAGTATAGCTATTCTCATGTTGCAAATGAAAGACAGTTTCAAGCAAAGAAACCAGGGATAGGAAAACCAAACCAAAACCCCAAAACAACCTTCCCTCCAAAAGATCAAGAATAAAATTAACACAACTAGAGCATTTAGACTAGGGAAACAAAAGGTGAAGAGAAAGAATTTAAGTGACAGAGTTCCAAATACATAGAAATACAGAAACATAACAAACTCTTAGAAGGTCTACTTCAACTGAATACACAAAATCTTGAAATCTAATAATTTACCAGAAGGATACAAAGGAGTACAACTGACCTAACTTCTGTGCAATTTCAGTTATAATAAAATAAGCTCTTTCAGTAACTGTTCTTATTAGCATTATTACCTAAACAAAAAAAGTCCTTGATGAAATTCTGTAGATGACATACCTTCTGTGTCAAACTGAGATCAGGATCCATTTTTATCATTTCCCAGCTGCCATAGCCATATTCATAGATACCTATTAACAGATTGGAATCATCTTCCTTACCCCAATCTATATCAAAATGAGCTGCCTTGGTGTGGCATGGGATGACATATCTAGTAGAAATAAATTAGAAACATAAATAAGCGATCTTCTCAAACTTAGCAAGGGAGAGGGGAACATGCCACACATCACTAAGATCCTGGTATATTTAGGTAAGTAATCCAGATATCTATCAGGTTTTCTTACAATTTCTATAAATTATTTATTGAAATCAGTACTGAAACATGTTTTAAAGCAGATCAATATTAAGATATAAAGAACAACAGATATCTATCTGTGGCCATGGATTGAGTCACAACTGGCTAACCATGAAGATAAGCTTAAAATATTACTCAAGTGTAACTGCTAACTGAATAAGCAGATAGTCTAGGGACTATGATACACAAGGTAGCAAGCTAAAAAGTTCAGAGGGCTAAACAACTACCAACAATTACCATCTGCTCCACTTTGACAAATATTGCTTTCTCTCAGGCAGAGGTGACACTAAGCAGCTCTTCAACAAGCCTAATTTCTAGTCTGGAATAATTAAGAGTAACTGAACCCAGTCCCCAATCAGTTCAGAAGCCAAAGCAAATACCAGCTTCTAAGGAGAGAGAAGAAAGAAAAAAGAAAGGATGTGGAACAGATTGCTGCTGCCAGTTCTTAGAGGGAATGGAGCGACATTGGTGTCCCAGTGTGCTTAGAGTCTGGATTGCTTAAATATATGCCTAAAAGCCTTGAATAACTTTCTGTATTATGGCTTCCTTTAGGAAAAGAAAAAAATACCTTTTCCTTTCTTCTGGATCTGAAGGAATGGATTTGTGCAATGGTGCCAACTCTTCTTCATGAGAGATGACTAGTTTTGCATTCACCTGCACTCCTGATATTCGGAATGTTGGGCCTTTAACTTTCCCAAGTCTACCACCTTAAAATAAAGGACCAAATTATTAAAATATTCAGCCTTTATGTGTATATTATAGACAAACATAAAGAAAAAAGAAAGTTTGATGCTATAGCAGCAGACATTCAATTATAGCAAATGACTCTTTCTTAACCAAACGCTTTAATTAAACTCCAGAATCTCAAGGTCTTCCAGATAATAATATTTTATTAAATTAATTCTAAATTTTACGGTAAAGCAAAAACATGCTGCATTCTACTGCGACAACTCACTCAGGGAAAGGGGGAAAAAACTCAAACCCAAAAAGTCGTCTTACTATAAACCTTTTTTGTAAATCACATACCATACTAACATTTTGTTAATGTTTTCCCCTAACACAATTGTTTTGCTATAATCAGAGTGCAAGAATTATTCAGATCTTGACACTTTTTATTCCTCTCCCCCACCCCCAAACGGATTTTACCTGCTCTTTCTTGTCCAAAGGAATTGTCCTTTAAAGCCTTAATGCATCCATTATGTACAAGTTCTCCCAGACGTCTAAGGTCTGTCTCAGATTTATCAACTAGCTCAGCATCTCTAGCTATAGCATCTAACCTGTAAGAAAACAAATATGTTTTTACAGCTCTAAAACTTTAGTATTATGAGTGACTCCTTCAAATTTTGAAACTAGAGAAGTGATCACGTAAGTTATCATTCACCCACGCTTGCTATGCTGTGTACAATTTTGATCCATGCAGTTAAAAGCAGCTATAAGAAAAGAATACAGAAACTATAAAAAGGGGTTTTTCACATAGAGGACGATACAACAGGAACTATAAAGGACCCTAACTATACAGTTTTGAGTTACATTCTTACACATTCTTTTAAATAGAAAAGGAACTATTATATATAATAAGTCCATATAGACTATAAATACTATTAAAGAAAATGAAGGTGGCAAATTATTCTCAAAATACAGAGTAATACAGAAAGCTTAAAATAAGAACTGAAAATGAGAAAAATGCAAAACTGGCAGTTAGTCTGTTGAAAGCCTATGGCTTTATCCACTCTATCAAACAAGAAAACTGACTGATTGTCACTAATGCAGATTAAACAAGACAGTAGGTAAAGTATAAAGAAAAACAAGCAGTTTTGCAAAATTTAAAGATTTGTCGAACTGGCTGTCTATATACATACCATATATGAAGAAAGGAAAAAAAAAATTAAATTCATGTTATAGTCAAGGCAAAAGATTAGGCACACTTTTTTCTCTTCAACCTAAGGTTTCTTGGTGTATTGTTCCAATTTTAATGAAAACAAGGTTCCAAGTTGCTATACAAATATAATCAAATAAGTTTACCTTTCAAGTGGGCCACCAAATTTCTTGTAACTCTTGATAAACCTAGTAATAGAAAATAATTCTGGAGTTAAAAAAATGTATGCTTAACTACACTGGCTTTAAAAACATATTTGTAAAGCCTTACTACAAGGCTATGTGGACAATGCAAAGAAAATACAAACTAGAGAGACTAGGATAGCTTAGTATCTCAAGATAACCCACATATAAAACCAGACATCTATTTGGTTTAATAATTGATGTAAAGAAAACAATAGAAGATACAATTTATTGGAAAAATTACTTAACTAATTAGTTTCACAAGACAACGGGTTCGGCAATGTGATGTGACTACTCATAAAAATCAAATGTGTATTTATAGTACATAGATAATTCAGACATTATGTTAGGTCTCATAATAAAGAGGGGCTAGCTGCAATTTTAAGGTGATTTTAAGACTTAGGAAAACATAACATGAAAGATAAAGGAATGCAAGCACAAGAATACCCTTGACAAAAGCAGCAAACCATTATATGTTAGATGAAATGGAAAGGAAACAAGGATCTTCATGTTATTTATATAATCAAAAATATTTTATAAGCTTTACAGTATTTTACAGAAACATGAATACTTAAATTACAGAAGCAAAGTAGCATTTCACAAACCAATCAAAGTAAGGCAAAACAATTTCTCCTCCTTCTACCGAAGAAGTATTTTTAGCACCAAATATTGATGGGACCAGCTGTACAGATTCACTTATGTATTGGTTTTTGCTGAAATAAATTTAATTTTCTTCAGAGCACCATACCTGCTAATATGTTTTGGATTTGTGACCAAAACGATGTTGATAATTCAGGGATGCTTTAGTTATTGCTGAGCTGTGCTTACACAGTGTCAAGGCCTTTTCTGCTTGTCACCCCACCCCACCAGTGAGTAGGCTGGGGGTGCACAAAAAGTTGAGAGGGGACACAGCTGGGACAGCTGACCCTAACTGACCAAAGGGATATTCAGTACCATATGACATCATGCTCCACAATAAAAACTGCAAGGAAGAAGAAGGGAGACGGGACATTCAGTGTTATGGCATCGGTCTTCCTAAGAAACTGTTTTGCATGATGAAGCCCCACTTTCCAGGAAATAGGTAAATACCTGCCTGCTAATGGGAAGTAGTGTATGAATTCCTTGTTTTGCTTTGCTTGCACATGCAACCTTTTGCTTTGCCTATTAAACTGTCTTTATCTTAACCAAAGAGTTTTCTCATTTTTACCCTTCTGATTCTCTCACCAATCCCTCTGGGGGAGACTGAGCAAGCATCTGTGTGGTGCTTAGCTGCTTAGCAAGGTTAAACAACACCAACTTATAAAAACGGATTGTGTGTGTGTGTTTTGGGTTTTTTTAGTTTTAAAAAGCACCATATAACATTAATTCAATTACAAAGGCAAGAAATTTAAAATAAATGAAACTCACCGAACCTTTTGTAGGTACTTCCACAAAAATGTGCATATTGTTTCTTCAACTACAGTTTTTCAGTTAAATGATGGGAAGTAAAATATTTTGTTTGTGGGGTTAAAAAAAAAAGCAGCTCACTCATTTTAGAAAATGTTTTTTGAAATCACTATCTCACTATCTTCAGGCGATGCCGGAAGAATAATACATATTAAAGATTGTAAAACAATTAAGAACATTTTTCAAACCCAATGTTATTTCTCATCAAAAGAGGTTCAAATTCTGGACACAGAATCATAGAACAGTTTGGGTTGGAAGGGACCTTTAAAGGTCATCTAGCCCAACTCCTTTGCAATGAGCAGGGACGTCTTCAATTAGACCAGGTTGCTCAGAGCCCCGTCCAACCTGACCTTGAACGTTTCCAGGGATGGGGCATCTACCACCTCTCTGGGCAACCTGTGCCACTGTTTCACCACCCTCAGTGTGAAAAACTTCTTCCTTGTATCTAGGTCTAAATCTACCCTCTTTTAGGTTAAAACC